AGGGAAGGAAGGAAGGAAGGAAGGAAGGAAGGAAGGAAGGAAGGAAGGAAGGAAGGAAGGAAGGAAGGAAAGAAGGAAGGAAGGGAGGGAGGGAGGGAGGGAGGGAGGGAAGGAGGGAGGAAAGTAATAGAAGGAAAGGACAGAGACAGGTGAGGTAAATCCAGGTAGGAAAGACAAATGATTATTACATTTCATGGAGGCAGAAGGTAACACATATGAAGATAAAACTGGACCACAGAATCTTAACTTTATATATAGGTTTAAAAAATAGAAGTATATTGGGTTGGGAATGTGGTTTAGTGGTAGAGTGCTTGCCTTGCTTGCATGAAGCCCTGGGTTCGATTCCTCAGTATCACATAAACAGAAAAAGCTAGAAGTAGCGCTGTGGCTCAAGTGGTTGAGTGCTAGCCTTGAGCTAAAGAGCTAAGGGACAGTGCCCAGGCCCAGAGTTCAAGCCCCACAACCGACAAAAAAAGAAAAGGAAAGAAAGTCAAAGGTATTCAACCACTTGCACAAATATTAGGAGAACTTCTTATGGTATAAGTTTTATTACCTGTGTAACATCAATTACTTCATTCAAGTTAGTTCCAGGCAACTTCAAGTCGTCATCTACCTTTACAAATTCTGGAATCTAAGAAAAGATTTTCAGAAAGTTTTTGTTATGCTCAAGTTGTAAAAATTTATATATAATGTATCATATTTCCAAATGGCTCTATTTTTTATATTTTGCATTTATACTTTTTTGCATTTGTATTTTTGAAGTTTAAATGTGTCATTTACTTAATAAATGAAATCGAAACTAGTCCCTAAGCCTTTAGACCATCATTTCAATAGCTGTAAAAATTAAATATTGGTTTTAGTATCAATTTTTAACATTTAAAGGATTTCCTCACACTTGGTATACTTTTTTTTTTTGTCAGTTGTGGGCCTGCCTGAACTCTGAGCCTGGGAGCTGTCCCTCAGCTCTTCAGCTCAAGGCTGGCACTCTACCATTTGAGCCATAGCACCACCTCTGGCTTTTTCTGCTTATGTGGTATTAAGGAATCAAACCCAGGGCCTCATGCATGCAAGGCAAGCACTCTACCACTGAGTTACCTTCCCAGCCCTGCAATAATTGTGATTCTCAGTTTCCATGTCTTATGCTCCACAAACATTTATTTACAAAGTTGCTTTTTTTTTTTTTGCTGAAGGTAATGAGGTTTGAACTCAGAGCCTTTCACTTACTAGGCAAGTGCTCAACTTCTTTTGAGCCACATCCCCAGCCCCAGTTTTAGTATTAAAATTTAACATTTAAAGGATTGTCAATAAGTATAACTTAAGTCATTGATCAATAGGTTGACAAAATTATGATTTTTTTCTATAGTTAAGATAAAGTGTTTGTATGTGTATCTATAGAAGCATACACAAACTCACAAAAAAGTAATACTTTTAGAAATAGTAATTTCAGAAATCTAATATATGGGCTTTGCTATATAAAATTCAGTCACCAAAATCCACTTCAGTATCTTGCCAAGAGTAAGAATGATTAAAAGTCCAAAAATTTATTATATGTAATTATATTTCAATAAATTTTCAATAAAAACAAAATTATTGATGTAAGTTAAATTAGATAGAGATTCTTGGTGTTTTCCTGTTACCTTCACTGATCAAGTCTGCTTTCAATAACAAAACCTTGGATTGAGATAAATTACAGTTCTATTTTACTACAGCAAAAGTCCTAAGTGCCAATCATGTCAACAGTATGACTATGTAATATCCCCAGCTATAAACTCCAATTGTCCCTAGAAAATTCACATTCAAAGAATCTAATTCCGACGTAAATCAGAGATTATTTACCAAAGAGATAGAATTCTTCATATATGTGAGTCTCACAATTTGCATACCAAAATATTACCTAGGAATTTTACCCTTCTGCATACTTACAAATATAAAGATCTTAAACTTCCTTTTTCAAGTTTATAAATAATTTTAAATGCATTATTATTGTAATCCATTATTATATATATCTATTATTATAATAGGTTATGATCTGATAGAAGGCTTGGAGTGCAATGATAGTTAAAATCTGCAGCCAGACATGAGGTAAAGCAATATAACGGAACTTTGACATCTACCTGTATCCCAGTGTATGGTGGAGAAAGAGAAGCTTCTCGGGGACAGGGCAGAGGGGACTCAGCATCTGCACTGCTGTAGGAAATGCTGTCAATATCTACACTCGGCAATACCTACAATAGAACACAACATGTAGCTTTTTCCTAATCATTCTGACTCAAGTATTTGTAAACAACAAGTATTTGAAAACAACATGTCCTTTAAGTTTTACTGGTGATGCTAATAGCTAACAATTTTTTACATTATAAAAGCTCATTTTATAAAATGTGAAAAGAGGAAAACACAAAATCCTATCTTTTTTTTCTTTTGTTGTTGTTGTTAGTCATGGGACTTGAACTCTGGGCCTAGGCACTGTCTCTCAGCTTTTCAGCTCAAGGTGAGCATTCTTACCACTTGAACTACAACCCCCATTTCCGGTTTTCTGATGGTTTAATTGGAGATAAGAGTCTCTTGGACTTTCCTGCTGGGGGCTGGCTTAGAACCGTGTTCCTCAGATCTCAGCCTCCTGACTGGCTAGGATTATAGGCATGAGCCACTGGCACCCTGCCAAAATCTTATCTTAAAATCCTATCTTAAGATAACTTTATTTTCATTACTGTATTCTCTTTTCCTTTTTATTAGGTACTTAGGCATGTAAAATAGTGCTCATTATGGTATTTCATTATTATTAGGTCATAAACACCTTATCATGCTCTGTACAGGCTTCATATTTTAAAGTAAGTAATTCAACAAGTATACATGCTTTATTTCATTAGGGTCCTATTGATCAGCATTTAGAATATTTCCAAATTTACTATTATTACATGCAAAACAATATAAAAATTTTTATACAGTTTTCTTCTTAAACTTTGAATTATTTCATTTTATTAGGTATATATTAGATTAACTTCTTGGGCCACATGAATATTGAAGATACTCATTAATTACTAGCAAATTACATTTACATAATCTCTAAGTTATAAAAAGCATAACAGAATGGGCTGGGAAGGTGGCTCAGTGGTAGAGCACTTGCTTTGCATGCCTGAGGCCCTGGGTTCGATTCCTCAGCACCACATAAGCAAAAAGAAAAAAGCTAGAAATGGAGCTGTGGCTCAAGTGGTAGAGTGCTAGCCCTGAGTGGAAGAGCTAAGGGACAGCGCCCAGGCCCAGAGTACAGGCCCCACGACTGGACCCCCCCCAAAAAAAGCATAACAGTGAAAGACCCCAGACTCCTGGGATACTTTCGTCAATGGGAAGGGCGCCCCAGAAAACTCAGACTCCAGGCCGGGAGATGCAATAAGCAAGAGGAGTTTATTTGACGTTTGCGCAAACAGACTCTCTGCCCCGGTCAGTCAGAGAGCCCTGAGCAGCGGTTACAAGCCCTTTTTAAAAGGCAAAAACCACAAGATTAACACATAATACAAAGCATTCCATGATTGGTCCATTTAAAGGTCATCATATACACCAACAATCACTTTGCCACACGGGAAATTCTGTAATACTCTTTGTAAAATGACTGGCCCATGGTTGGTTTAAGGGGGCTTTACTTGGTTACAGGCCTATGATTGGTTGACATTTGGCTTAGCGTGTGGTCTTGTCAGGTGGTCGTTATCTCAAGGTCCTGTCTGGGGAATTTTTAAATGGGAACTGAGGAACACGTACTGTCTGTTCTTTATCTACGACCACTGACCTTGTCCTGGGGCCGACATCTGGGCTCTGAGACTTTACCCAATTCCTTATTTCCAGGGAGGGGGTTGGTGTTAGCTCAAGCAAGCAAGTTTACAGAAGCAGAGTCAGCAGTTAGTAAACTGTAAAATGGATGCAGCCCTAATTTTTCTAATTCTTCAACAGAAGAGTGGAGAGGTGACAATGATTAAGATACACTATAGTCATAACCTGACTTACGGAATTGAAACTTCTTTGCACAACTAAAGTAAATAGGGCCGGTACCAGAGGTTCACGCCAGTAATCCTAGTGACTCAGGGAGCTGAGATCTGAGAATCATGGTTCAAAGCCAGCCTGTGCAAGAAAGTCTTGAGACTTTTATCTCTAATAAAATTACAAAAAAAGCCAGAAATAGAGCTATGGCTCAAGTGGTAGAGCACTAGCCTTGACAAAAGAAGCTCTAGGACAGTGCCCAGGCCCTGAGTTAAGCCCTAGGACCAGCAAAACATAAAAACAAAAATAAACACTTTCCAATAAAGCATAATGAACTAGAAACTTTAGCGAATGTTTAACTGAAATAAGACTTCCTACAATAAGTGTTAAGACAGAAGTATGTTATTGTTACAAACTGTGCTTACTCTTGTTCACATCCTTTGAATATTTTTGAATTTTGATTCATATGTTTTCTCAGTTAAAAGTTAACTCTTTGCTAGTGCTTTCCTTTTTTATGTTGTTTTTCTTATATAAGTAACTTTTGGATTTTATATATTAAAATCTTTTCTATCATATATGAGTTTTCTTCTCTCATATACCAGGCTTGGTCTCAGTTTATATAAAAATTCCATGAAATAATCTTCTAATATTTCTGTTTTAATATTGTATAGTTTAACCTACTGCCTTTATGGAACTCATTTGCTATGTAATAGTAATTTATAGCTAAAACTGATCTTTCTTTCACACTGTTAAACCAATTACAACATACATAATATCATTTCCATGTTTACTAGTAACACAAGAAGGCTCTATCTTGCTAGATATACCTTTTAGATAACCAAGGTTAATTCTGAAATCCTGTTATATTGGACTAACATCAAAACTCTTAATTTTTCTAAGCCATTTATTCTTCCAGATATCAAAATGATCCTTTGTTTTTGCAAATAAAAGAACTTGGTTACTTTTTTAAATTTGAAATTATAGATTAAGTTGAGGAGAACTGATAACTTGACTAGTCTTTTGTACATAAAAATAAGTTCTCTCAGGCTGGGAAGGTGGCTCAGTGGTAGAGCGCTTGCCTTGCATGCATGAGGCCCTGGGTTCGATTCCTCAGCACCACATTAGCAAAAAGAAAAAAGCCGGAAGTGGCGCTGTGGCTCAAGTGGTAGAGCGCTAGCCTTGAGCTGAAGAGCTGAGGGACAGCGCCCAGGCCCAGAGTTCAGGCCCCACGAATGGACCCCAAAAAAATAAATAAATAAATAAGTTCTCTCTATAGGCATCAAGTCTTTTTATATGTGTTTGTGTAAAGTTTACAGCATTAGTATATTAGTCACACTCTCTAAGTCTTCTTAAACCATGAAGAAATCAAAATTTTTGTGAATTATAATAATTAAAGTACTAATATTGAGCCCAAGATGTTTTTGTCTTAAAACTTTCTGCTTATGCACTCTGGCATACCTGTACAGCAAGCTGAGGAGGATCTTTTTTTTCTGACTTCATTTCAACAACTGCTATATTAGGTTTCTTTACTCTAGCTTCTCTTTGCTGACATGATGGAGGAATAGAAGTAGTCACTGTTACAGGGTGTGGCTTCTTTATAATCACTCCAGCAGGTGGCATGGAATCGCTATTACTTTGTGTTTGTCCTAAAAAATTGAGAAAAGAAAAATGAGTCAACTATTTCCAAAATAGTTAGAAAATTCAAATCTATTGCCTGGATATTGTGATGTTCCTTCACACAAAAGGGAAACATTCTCTCTCCATCGTTATATTGTCAATATAAATACCACGCCATCCTTTATAGAAGTGGCACGACTTTTAGGCTTCAATTATATTATCTAATGTCATTCTCAAAATGAAGGCTATGAGCTTCTAATACTATAGGTTTTTTTGTGTGTGTGTGTATGTTGGTCCTGAGGCTTGACTCAGGGCCTGGGTGCTGTCTCTGAGCACTCTTGTCACTTGAGCCTCAGCTCCACTTCCAGCTTTTTCTGTGATTAATTGGAGATAAGAGTCTCATAGACTTTCTTACCTGGACTGGCTTCAAACCACAATTCTCATATCTCAGCCTTCTAAGTAGTCAACTAACAACTTCTTTTTTCTAGAAGATAGCCCAGAAAAAAATATTCAAAAGCAAAATCAATTTAAAAGCATTATATCGATGGGCACTGGTGGCTCATGCCCGTAATCTTAGCTACTCAGGCAGCTGAGATCTGAGGATCATGGTTTAAAGCCAGCCCAGGCAGGAAAGTCCATGAGACTCTTATCTCCAATAAACCACCAGAAAACTGTCAGTGGCACTGTGGCTCAAGTGGCAGAGCACTAGCTTTGAGCTGAAGAGCTGAGGGACAACACCCAAGCCCAGAGTTCATATTTAAATCATCCATCAAAATCAAAGAAAAAATAATGGGTACAATGCTTCATGAATATAATACAAGCTAGTCAGGAGGCAGAGATTAGAACGATTAAAATTTTAATAAACCAGAGGTAGAGGTACACATCTGCTACCACACTTACACAGTAGGCTGTAGGTAGAAGGAGCACTGTCTGAGACCAGCCTTGGACAAAAACATGAAATTCTTTGTGAAAAATAACTAAAGCAAGGGAGGATTGGATGTTTAGTTCAAGAGGTAGAGTACCTAGCAAGCATGAGGTTCAGAGTTCGAACCTCAATAACACCAAATAAATTAAGGAAAAAATAGTGATGCAACTAAAAAAAAGTAGACTCTATTTAAAGAGATGATGTGAAGGCAAAAATGATGACTAATTGTGAGATTGATGACTTGGAGAGTATTGGCTTAGAACATACAACCACAGAAATCTAACAAATAGCAGCCTAGTTCAAAAGTACATGAGAATGCTTTAAAGAACTTCCCTTGAGGCATGACAGTATTAACTAGCCAGCCAAATCTGAATTCTTGAATTATTATGTCACTGCATGTTTAATAACTTCATCTACAGAAATGTATTATGGAAAAGGAAAATAATGTTTCTTATGAGTGAAATTACAGCAGGAGCTCATCATTTCAAAAACTAGTACATTCTGGGGCCCTCCCCACATATAAAAACAACATACAGATTACTAATTGAAAGTTCTGTTCCTGCTCCTCAGAAATTAAAATTCATTTCACACGTTTTGTTGGTTCTTACCTAGGAGAACTGCCATAGGAATTAGATGGCCTTCCCGGGTACCTGAAACAGAAGGTCTTTTTCTGCTTGGGCTGAACAAATACTGCTGATCACCATGAGGCAGTGTAGGTTTGAGATAGTTTATTTTAGAGCCCACCTTCATGGGTTTTGTTGCATAAAAGTCAGTTTGTGTCCTTATTGATTTGACTTTAGTACCTGTAATAATCATTAGTAACATGTATTTTATTTATATATTGTTAAATAATACTTATTAGTTAAATATTATTTGAATATCTATAATATAGTCATCTGCATAGAACTACAGCAAAGTATATTCACAGAAATGAAATCATTCAATTTAATAAGGTGATAGGATCATAAAAGTAGCATACAGACCAGAGGTCTGTTCTTAAATGGCCAGATAGTAAACATTTATTTCTTGTTAGACATGTGGTCTCAGTTACAACTATTCAATTCTGCTGATACGCCATTAAAAAAGCTATAAACAGTATATAAATGATGAGCATAAAACTTTATATAACATAATAAAATTTTATTTTCCAAATTATTTTATTTAACATATAGTTATATATGGAAGGATTTCATTGTTACATCTCCATATATGTTTACACTGTATTCCAACCAATCTCAACCTCTCTATCACTGTCTTTGTCTCAACTTCCCCCACAAAATCACATCCAACAGATTTTACTGTTCCATTTTCATAGTTAATATCTAAATAAAGTTTTTTTTGTGTGTTAGTACTATGGTTTGAAATCAAGCTATTTTTATTTGTGCACGAAAGCAACAAAACTTTCACCTATGCTAAGGCCTTAAAATGAGAGCTGGGAAGGTGGCTCAGTGGTAGAGTGCTTGCCTTGCATGCATGAAGCCCTGGGTTCGATTCCTCAGCACCATATAAGCAGAAAAAGCCGGAAGTGGCACTGTGGCTCAATTGGTAGAGTGCTAGCCTTGAGCTGAAGAGCTGAGGGACAACACCCAGGCTCAGAGTTCAGGACCCACGACCAACAAAAAATAAAACCAAAACCAAAACCAAATAAAAGGTTTTTAAATACTTTCTAGTAATGCCCATAAATACTTTCTAGTAATAAACAATCTATGTGCATCTCTAAACTCTGGTCTATTTCCTCCTATCACTCATAGAAGGAATTATTTTTCTATCACTAAGTATTAGATAAGCTTAAGTGTATGTTTAAGTAATAAATAAAAAGCAAACAAAAGGAAACTTTGGATTTGAAGTTGACAATAAAATGAGGCAAAACAAAATATGAGGATTCTCACCTTTAACTCGTTCTATCACTTTTGGTCTCTGTGGTTTGGACCTAGGAGATGGAGAATTAAATCTGAGATAAGGTCCTTTTTTAAGAGTGCTGCGGTGGCCCTGATAAATTGGCTTTCCATATATTTGTAACATATAATCCTCATCTTGTAGAACTGTGGTTGATTTCAAAAGCTCCTATGAGTGTAAAATAAAAACTTGTTATGAAAACAGACATCAAGCACTTCATTTTTCTAAAGTCTCCTTTAGCTACTTTAAGTGCTATAATATAAATGATTGTGTTAGAAAAGTCCTACATTTTAAAGAGCCCTTAAATTCTGGCTTTACTTTGCAATCATGAATTTAAAAAGCATTCAACTTAAGTATAAAAAGCATCCACCTAAGACGCAGGAAAGTTTTTATAATATTAAGTGTATTTTAATACCAAAAATAATGTTTAGACAGATTTTACATATTTTTTTATACTTAAGTGTAAGCTCAGCTAGGAGGGAGGTAGAGATGATCAAGGCCAACTAGAGCAAAAAGTTAGTGAGATGCCATCTCAACAAAACCATGAGATAAATGTCTACAATCCTAGTTACAGGGGAGACATAGGTAGAAACATCAAGTTCCCAGGATGTCCAGGGCAAAAAATGAGATCCTATCTAAAAAAATAACCAAAGCAAAAAGCATTGCAAGTATAGCTCATTTAAGCACAAGGCTCTGACTTTACATCCCAGAAGACAAAATTAACGACAACAACAAAAGACAAGTATAATAAAAATGCATTTAAACTGTAATCATAGCTACTTGGGAGGCAGAGACTGGTTGGTTATGGTCTGAGTTCACTCCAGGCAAAAAGAAGTTCATGAGATTCCATCTGAACAAATGGCTGGGTGTGGTGGTGGCTAACTATCATCCTCAGTGACATAAGGAAGCACAAACAGAAGGATCACAGCCCAGACCAGTCTGGGCCTAAAATGAGACCATACCTTAAAAATAATTGTGGGAACCCTCAAGCCCTGTGGGACTGGCCCAGGAGATTTGAATACAAGTAGAAACTCCTGGTTGTGTGTATTTGTGTTTGATCTTCTTCAGTAATCTTGTCAAGAGACAAAAGAAGTCCCTCTGTAATTTCTGGCATCCTAGATCTGTTACAGTAACTGTTTACCTCAGTACTTCCAGCTTTCTTCTTAATCTACATATTGGAATATGCTTTTGTTTATCTCCCCTTAATTTCCTTAAGGAAGGGGGGCAATCTGAACCTATAAAAGTGAAGGTTAGGGTCACTTCTTGGGGATAACCATATCTGTCTCATTCCTTACCCCATAGTGGTATTGGATTATTACTTATTTAATATTAAAATGAGCTACACGACTTGTTGGCAGTGATGGGAGGGAAAAACTGGAAGAGAGCAAGGCAAGAGGTGAGATTGTCCAAAAAGAAATGTACTCTTTATCTGACTTACATAACAGTAACCCTTCTGTACATCATCTTCACAACAGCAATACAAAAATTAAAAAAATTAAAAAATTTTAAATGAGATGGCAACACATGGGCATTTCTTTATCTGTCACCCCAGAATCTGCTGGTTGGAACTAATAAATAAACAACACAAAAAGGGTTTGGTAGAGTGGCTCAAGTGATACAGTACCTGCTTAGCATGTGCAAGAAACTGAGTTCAAACCTCAGTATAGCTAAAAAGAAAAAAGACAATAGATGTAGTAACTACTCTATGTATTCCTGATTCCACTTGCAACCATAATCTGAATGCCACAGAAAATCAACAACAAGTGCTAAGTATTGAATTACATCCTTTAATTTGCTCAAAAATCATGCTTGCAAAAACAGTAAGACCTATTAAAATTGTTTGAAAAAGGGATGACTGGGGATAAATAGTAACTGGGGTGAATTTGCTGACATGATATCCATGTACGAAAATTTCACAATAAACCCATTAAAACAATTAATATATGCTAATAAAAATGTTCATCTTTTCATGTGTCTATTGGCTATTTTTATTTCTTTTTCAGAGAAGTCTTTAGCCCACTTATTGATAGGGTTGTGGTTTCTTTGAGGATTTGGTTTTAGTAGGTTTAATTTTTTGAGCTCTAAGTATATTGTAGATGTAAGGCCTTTGCTGATGTATAGCTAGTAAAGATCTTCTCCCGATCTGTGGGCTTTCTATTTATCCTGTTAGCTATGTCCTTTGCCATGCAGAAACTCTTCAGTTTAATGCAATCCCATTTATCCAGCCACTCTTTGAGTTGCTGTGTTTCTGGATCTTTACTTAGGAAGTTCCAAGGAGCCCTTGAAAGAAATGCAAATCAAAACAACATTGAGATTCTACCTCACCTCAGTTAGGAATGGCCATTATTAAGAAGACTAATAGTAACAAATGCTGGCAGGGATGTGGCCAAAAGAGAACAATACTACACTGTTGGTGGGAATGTAAACTTGTTCAACTACTCTGGAAAGCAGTATGGAGGTTCCTCAAAAGATTAAACATAGAACTCCACTATGACTCAGCAATCTTACTCCTGGGCATTTACCCAAATGACCACAAACCAGCTTGCACTAATGCCACCAGCACAATCATGTTCACTGCAGCATTTTTTTTTTTAACCATAGCTAAGATATGGAATCAACCCACATGCCTTTTAATAGATGAATGGATCAAGAAAATATGGTATATACACAATTGAATTCTATGCTTCCATCAGAAAGAATAACATTGCCCATTCATAAGGAAATAGAAAATTATATTAAGGAAATTATATTAAACTAAGTAAGTCAGACATAGACAAACATAGGCTCTATGGTTTCCCCCTCATTTGTAATAACTAGGATATGTCTAGAAATCTACAAATTAATTCAATCACAAAAGACAAACAATTAGCCGGGCGCTGGTGGCTCACGCCTGTAATCCTAGCTACTCAGGAGGCTGAGATCTGAGGATCGCGGTTCAAAGCCAGCCTGGGCAGGAGAGACCGTGAGACTCCTATCTCCAATAAACCACCAGAAAACTGGAAGTGGTGCTGTAGCTCAAGTGGTAAGAGCGCTTGCCTTGAGCTGAAGAGCTGAGGGACAGCGCCCAGGCCCAGAGTTCAAGCCCCACGACCGACCAAAAAAAAAAAAAAGACAAACAATTACACCTGTACATGATTAAACAGCACTCTAAGCATGGCAAAATGAGAACATAAGAGGATATTCTTAGGAGAGGATCACAATGACTCAACAGCTTTTTGCTTATCAAATTAACTTATCAAAATGAACTCCAAGAAATGGAAATAAGAGGTTTATTTATTTATTTTTTGGTCCGGTTGTGGGGCCTGAAGTTTGGGCCTGGGCGCTGTCCCTCAGCTCTTCAGTTCAAGGCTAGCGCTCTACCACTTGATCCACAGCGCCACTTTGGCTTTTTTTCTTTTTGCTTACGTGGTGCTGAGGAATCAAACCCAGGGCTTCATACATGCAAGGCAAGTGCTCTACCACTGAGCCACCTTCCCAGCCCAAGAGGTTTATTTTTTAATTGAACTGTTTGTACTTTTTTCTTTTTCCCCCCTTTGGTTTATTCCCTGTTTGTCACTGTTTTTTTATTTCCGTACTCTTTGTCTTGTATATAAGTTTAGCTGATTTTGGGAAGGGAAGAGGAATTACAAAAATGGTAGGACAAAAAGTCAACTAATTCAACAGATAGTCACTAAACACTATGTTGGAAAAGAACTTTACAACTTTGGGGGAGGGGAGATGGTAGGAAGTGGGAGAAATGAGGGAGAGAATAACACTGCTCAAAAAGAAATGTATAGGACTCATGCCAATGGATCATGCCTGTAATCCTAGCTACTCAGGAGGCTGAGATCTGAGGATTGCCATTCAAAGCCAGCCCAGGAAGTACATAAGACTTATCTCCAATAAACCACTCAGAAAACCAGAAGTGGCACAGTGGCTCAAGTGGTAGAGTACCAGCCTTGAGCTGATGAGCTGAGGGACAGCATTTAGGCCCAGAGTTCAAACTTCATGACCAACAAAAAAAAGAAAAAGAAAAAAAGAAATGTACAGGCAGGGAATGTGGCTTAGTGGTAGAGTGCTTGCCTAGCATACATGAGGCCCTGGGTTTGATTCCTCTGTACCACATAAACAGAAAAAGCTGGAAGTGGCACTGTGGCTCAAGAGGTAGAGCACTAGTCTTGAGCAAAAGAAGCTCAGGGACAGTGCTCAGGCCCTGAGTTCAAGCTCCAGGACTGGCAAAAGAAAAAAGAAATGTACTCATTACCTTACTTATGAAACTGTAACCCCTCTATACATCACCTTTACAATAAAATTTAAGTTAAAAAGAAAAAGTTCACCGGGCACGGGTGGCTCACGCCTGTAATCCTAGCTACTCAGGAGGCTGAGATCTGAGGATCACAGTTCAAAGCCAGCCCAGGCAGAAAGTCCGTGAGACACTTATCTCCATTAAAAACCACTAGAAAACTGGAAGTTTCGCTGTGGCTCAAGCGGTCGAGCGCTCTCCTTGAGCTGAAGAGTGCAGGGACAGTGCCCAAGCCCAGAGTTCAAACCCCACAACTGACCAAAAAGAAAAAAAAAAGTTCATTTTTAAGATTAAAAAGAATCCATGATAAACATAAAGAAAATTAACACTGCCAGGTGCCAGTGGTTCATAATTGTAATCCTAGCTACTCAGGAGGCTGAGATCTAAGGATCAAGGTTCAAAGCCACCTGGGGGCAGGAAAGCCCACGAGACTCTTATCTCCAATTAACCACCAGAAAACCAGAAGTAGTGCTGTGGCTCAAGTGGTAGAGTGCTCATCTGGAGCTGAAGAGCTCAGGGTCAGCACCTAGGGCTAGAGTTCAAGCACCAGGACCACAAAAGAAAAACAAAAACAAAAAAGAAAACTAACACCTAGTTACATCAGTGGAAAAAAAAAAATTTCTCCCAAGTATCTAATACTGTGTGTAGCACTTACTGGGGACTAAAAGTAAGTTTCTTAAATATAAGCAAATACACACAAAAATATGAAACATATTTTTCCCTAAAAAATTTTTTTTAGTTTGTAAAGAACTGCAGATTTGATCTAGTGCTATCTACATTATATACTCTAAGCCTTAAATACCAATAGTGTAAAGAGTTTACATTTGTATAGTCCCTTATATTTTCAAAACACCTTCATATTCATTTATCAGTTGTATCTGAAAGGGAAAATGACTTTATAATAATATTTATGTCAGAAAACAAAGTATCTTACTACTTTTCTCTCTTTCAGTAAGCTTGAGGCAGGCATGTTCCTCATCGGTGGGCTTCTAAAATACTCTTCTTGTTTCTGAGAGCACTTTCGTGGAATTACAGATTTACTAAAATCTCTGTCTTGTATGTTCATTTTAATATCTTTGTTCACATTCTGAGTAGTCTTGATCTTTTGATTCTTCTGATCAAATCTTTTTTGTTCACAATCTTTTCTTGAGAATTCATCCTAAGGTAAACAAAAGTAAAATTACTAGCTAAGTGCCAGTGGCTCACACCTATAATCTTAACTATTCAGGAAACTGAGCTCTGGATGATCTCAGTTTAAGGCCAGCCTAGTTAGAAAGACTCCATTTACAAAATAACCAGCAAAAAAGCAGGGGAGGAGCCATGGTTCATGTGGATAGCACTATCCTACTCAATATAAGGTCCTGAGTTCAAATCCCCATACCATCAGAAAATTACTTAAGACCTATCCAAATAATAGTTTCTCAGTAGAAGATATTAGAATTTATTTTTGCTGTTATATAAATATACTTTAGCATTTTAAATGTTTTCAAAATAAAAGATATTCTTCTTTGGAAGAATAAACAAGAGTAAAAAGAAGCCAGGCAAATATAGAACTTGGAAGGCTGAGGCAGGAGTTTCACAAATTTGAATCCAGCCTAGGATCTATAGAAAGACTGTCTCAAAAACACAAAAACACACAGAAACTCAAACTAAATATGACACTAAAAAGACTACTATTTTACAGAACTGGAAATTGTGGGTGAAGAACAGGAATAGGAGAGTAACTCTTCATCATGAACTTTTTTTTATCTTTTTTCTTTTTTTGGGGGGGGGGCCCGGTCGTGGGGCCTGAACTCTAGGCCTGGGCGCTGTCCCTCAGCTCTTCAGCTCAAGGCTAGCGCTCTACCACTTGAGCCACAACGCCACTTCCGGCTTTTTTCTTTTTGCTTATGTGGTGCTGAGGAATCGAACCCAGGGCCTCGGGCATGCAAGGCAAGCGCTCTACCACTGATCGACCTTCCCAGCCCCCATCATGAACTTTTTATACTTAATATTTATTTAAACCAGATGAATTTAATAACTTTAGAAAACTAAAATTAGGGCTGGGAAGTTGGCTCAGTGGTAGAGTGCTTGCCTCACATGCATGAGGCCCTCGGCTCGATTCCTCAGCACCATGTAAGCAGAAAAAAGCCAGAAGTGGTGCTGTGGCTCAAATGGTAGGGTGCTAGCCTGGAGCTGAAGAGCTGAGGGACAGCGCCCAGGCCCAGAGTTCAGGCCCCATGACTAACAGGAAAAAGAAAGAAAACAAAAATTAAAAAGGTTTAAAAAAGCAAATAACTAATAGTAAAACGATTAGCTGAAATAATTATTTGAACATACATTATACAGAATTCATCACTACAGGACATATTACAGTTGACAGCAGAGGCCAGAGCCTGACTCACAGGTCAACTTCTGGCTAATAGGTCAGTTTCTATTCAGGTGGAATCATTTCACATGGCTAATATAAATTCTTTATAAATACATATTCTCCTGTAACAGATTTAAACAATATATTCACTTGTTTACTGCTGTGGGAAGCAAACTGTCACTTCCCCTTGCCACCACTAAGAACTTCATATGACTGATCTCCTAATAAATAGCTCCCAGACTCTTGCAATGCTGAGGGGTGAAGATATACCACACCCTTCATGGATATGGGAAAGGGTGTTTTCTATCTGAAACTGTCTTTTCCACCTTAGAAATTGAATGTTTTCTTGCTGGTTATTTTCCTAAGTAATTGTGGTGTGTTTACTTTAGCAAGCCAATGTTTTTGTATCTGCTATCTTGAAACATTTGTGAATGTCTACTTCTTTTCTAATGCTTTAATAAGTTTTCTTTCAAATTACTCCTAACTTAGATACTTTCTAAAAGTCAGCCAGGTTAAGAACCACAACATATGACTCATTACTCATTACTGTTATACTCATTACTGAGTGACAGTGAAATGAAGAATTATAAGTAGACAAATATAAGAAATATTTAGAGAACAAATATGAGACTTAGAAATTGAAGCCACTGTTACATCTGAGACTTCATTTCCAGGTTTTTCCAAGACATACCTGAATTTCTGCAGAAATGGTTTTAATCCATTCATCTACTTTCTTTTTGATCCTAATTTTCTCTGACATCTCTCTACAAGAGAAAAAGGACTTTTCTTAAATTAGTCTTAATTCCCTAAGAATAGGACCTAGACAGATATATCTTATATGTTTTAAATTGACTGGCCAATATGCTTCATCTTAAAATAAAAAACCAGTAGTAGGGCTGGGAAGGTGGCTCAGTGGTAGAGCGCTTGCCTTGCATGCATGAGGTCCTGGGTTCGATTCCTCAGCACCACATAAGCAGGGGAAAAAAAAAGCCGGAAGTGGTGCTGTGGCTCAAGAGGTAGAGTGCTAGCCTTGAGCTGAAGAGCTGAGGGACAGCACCCAGGCCCAGAGTTCAAGTCCCACAACCGGACCCAAAAAAACCCAGTAGTATTAGTTTTCATCAAATATTTGAAGGAAAAATGTTTAAAAAGAACTACAGATATGTAGCAATAAGAAAAACAAAAAGGGAAGGAAAACTATCATATATATTCAATTTCCAACTATAATGGTCCACATCTTCCAAGGCAATAAAGAAATTTTTCTGAATATTAAAACATAGTAAGCACTGGGCACCAGTGCCTATAATCCTAGCTACTCAGATGGCTGAGATCTGAGGATCAAAGACAGCCAGGGCAGGAATGTCCAGGAGACTTTTATCTCCAATTAACCACCAGAAAATCAGGAGTAGTGCTGTGGCTCAAGTGGTAGACCACTAACTAGCCTTGAGTTGAAGAGCTCAGGGACAGTGCCTAGGCCCAGAGTTCAAGACTCACAACAGACACAAACAAAAAACAAAAAACACAGTAAGCACAGTGAAGTGCTCAGGAAAAAAAACTAAGGAAGTGGGCTGGGAAGGTGGCTCAGTGGTAAGAGTGCTTGCCTTGCACGTATGAGGCCCTGGGTTCGATTCCTCAGCACCACATAAGCCGAAAAAGCCAGAAATGGTGCTGTGGCTCAAGTGATACAGCACTGCCCTTGAGCTGAAAAGCTGTGGGACAGTGCACAGGCTCAGAGTTCAGGCCCCATGGCCAACCAAAAAAAAAAAACCAAACCAGCTTCATATATACCCTTGGGATGCCACCAACAGTATCCTACCTATTGGTAGATAAAGAATTGATAAATGAATACATAGCAGCTCCATCCTTAGCACGAACAATAGCTTCCAGGTTTTCTTCAAGTACTTTCTTATTGTTTTGTACTCCTCTCAAAATCTGCTCAGCATCTTTCAATATAGATCTCGTTGCATTGTTCGTTTGAAGCTTAACAGAATTCTGTGGAAGATCAGCTAACTTCAATGGAATTGAAGATTCTTTTGGCTTGAAAGAAAAAAATAGTAAAAAAAAAGTTACTATATTAAAGTCACATTGATTATTTTAAATTACGCCTATTATTATGGTTGGAGCAATAAACTATGTCAATTTAATTCTCTTTTTTTAATGCCAATATAATTCTAAGGACTAAATTTTTTATAAAACAATTGTTTTTCTCCCACTTCAAGTGTTAATATATGTGTTAAGTCAACAAAGGTGGGAAATCTACAGCAATTGCTCACAGACTGCTAGGCAGTCAAATAGCAATAAAAATCTCTATTTCTGAAGAATGCTAAATAAAATAAGAGCAAGTTAGATCTAGGTAGGTGTGGCAAACATATGGACTGGATCAGCAGGGGCCATTCACAGTTCACTTTCTCCCTTGCTTCTCTCTGCTAGATTATGGAAAACCAAAGATGGCCATGTGCCTCGGTCCTAATTAAGGAGGGGTGGTAGGTAAATAGAAATCACGGGTAAAGGATTCTAAAATTTTTCTATAAAGGAAACACACTTGGATAACATCTTTTTCAGATGTCTGACCTGAAAACTTTTTATTCCTTCATTATTATTATTATTATTTTTTGGGTCCGGTCGTGAGGCCTGAACTCTGGACCTGGGCACTGTCCCTCAGCTCTTCAGCTCAAGGCTAGTGCTCTACCACTTGAGCCACAGCGCCACTTCCGGCTTTTTTCTTTTTTCTTATGTGGTACTGAGGAATTGAACCCAGGGCCGCATGAATGCAAGACAAACACTCTACCACTGAGCCACCTTCCCAGCCCTCCTTCATTATTTTTATCATACTAATCATCAACTTTAATTCATTCCCATTGTACCTGGAATTTGCCATTTGTTTCCCTCTTCTTTTGGCCAAGATTATGAAGAACATCATTATGCTTCTGCATAGTCACTTTGGCTGTTCCTAGCTCTTCACAGGAAGGAAATCTTTGAGAAGGTAGAGTTTCAATACTACAGAAAGTTAAAAGAAAAAAATTCCAAAGTTATCGAAAACTCAAGAAACAATTTATTACATAAGTCATTGAAACATTTTTGAGTGTAATAATACTAAATGATATCCTACTAAAATTGTGTCATATAATTAATCGGTAGTATGATATATAGAAAAATCATAAGAGACAAATCATTTAGACCAGAAATATTTATATCCAACAGGAAAAAGCAGAAAAGGCTTTGCTTTCATGAAGCTAACATAAAGGATCACATTCAGATTAGTAGACAAAAAACTTCATATAATCTACAATGATAACAATAACAAACTCATCAAAATCTACTTTAAACAAATCAAGGAGAATTTTACTTAAGAAAAATAAATTTACTCTGATTCTGAGTAAGAACAAGCTTTATAGCCTTTGAAAACAAAACTTGCTTCATTTTTTAGGACCTTTCTCTCAACTTTGTAATCTTCAAAACGAGTAATCACTAAAAAGGATAGAACAGGTTTAGAGTTCTCTAAAAAATCCATTTATAAGCTGGATGCCAGGAGCTTTCTCCTCTAATGCTAGCTACTCAGGAGGCTGAGATCTCAAAGCCAGCCCAAGCAGAAAAGTCTGTGAGAGACTTATCTCAAATAAAGCACCAAAAAAGCCAAAAGTAAAGCTGTGGTTTAAGTGGTAGAGCACTAGCCTTGAGCAAAAAAGCTCAGGGACAGCTCCCAGGCCCTAAATTTAAGTCGCAGGACTGGAGCAAGCATTCACGCATGCACACACAATCCCAATAGTGTTTGTTACTATTTGACCTAACTTATGTGAGTTCAGTAAGGAATTTCACAGGTTTCAAACACTGGTAGTAGTTTAACCTTTCAGCCACTTGAGTTAGTGATGCCAGTTGAGACAAAGAAGATTGTGGCCAGTAAATTTTATAAACTGGTAAGTTACACCATGTTCCTGGGAATCCAGAGGGTCATGCACATAAACAGGGCTATGTGCATCCCCAGAGAAGTTCAAATCATTCAAATCTGCTGACTTCCAGGCTCTGTGCAAGGAGGAAATGAAGGTTAGCACAGACTTACACCCTGCCCCAATACACAGCCCTGTTTTCCACCCTCCCCAAACCTACAAACCCACAGGCAAAAGAGACTTAGTCCAAGGTAAGGAAATCTCCAATCATTAGCAGACTAAGCTACAGACTTCAGTAAACACATGTGACAACCAGGCTTTATAGAACTGGTCCAGGAAACCACTAAGCAAGCAGCAAGAAAAGTAGTAGTTCAGTAAACAACAAACTCTGATAGGTGGAAGAATTGGACTTCTCGTGTACCCTATTCATGTTGTTTCAAATGTTCAGTTTCAACAATGATACATACAAAGGAATAACAAAAGATAATCCCCCCCAAACAAATAAAGCACAGTCAATAGAAACTGTTCTTGAGAAATCCCAAATATTAAAGACTATAAGATAGCTACTATTAAAGAAACCAGTTCAAACCAAAAAAAATAAAGACATGCTAACATCAAAAGCTCTAATTAAATCAAAGACTTTTTAATATATATATTTTTATTGTAAAGATACTGTACAGAGAGGGATTACAGTTACATGAGTAAGGTAATGAGTACATTTCTTATTGAGCATTGTTACCCCCTCAAATCAAAGACTTTTTTTGGGGGGGGGTCCGGTCATGGAGGCTGAACTCTGGGCCTGGGCGCTGTCC